CAGACTAATGCGCCAATGATTACATTAACCACCAGCTTCGCTGTTTGTCCTGTATGCCTGTTTGTGAAGATGCGTCTCTATCTCCTCCCTGAAGACCAGCATTCCCAGGTGCGAGTGAGAGGCCTCGTTCATGGCTTTGGACTGGATGCACATGCGGTACTGCTCGGGGGTCAACTCATCAGCACAGCGTTTCTCATGCCAGAGGTGGAAAAGACCAGGGACTGGAGTCCGAATCACAATCAGGTCACCATGTAAGTATTTTCGATAAAGATGAACATCTTCTCCACCCCAACCTTTGACTTCCATGTCAAATCCACCTGTGGGATCAAAACTGACACTATTAAATAACTGCCTGATAAAGATGTAAACATTCTGCTTCAAATGAGAGGACATGGTATAGTCCAAAGACACCTAACAAGGAAATTCTTGTTTGGAAATCTGGTTACCAGCTGTATCTAGAAGCTCAAAGTCTGTTGTTGAAAGTATCAAAGTAAGATTAAATATTTGAGAATACTCTGCAAACTTCAAGGTTCTACATGAAATCTCTAGAAAGTCAAACAAAGGAGAAGGAAATATAAATCACCCATAACACCACCATTAATATTTTATTATGTTTTCTTTCAATCCTTTGAGATCCAAGTTTTTCTGGGTCACAAAAACTTTCCAGAGAGGAGAACTGAAGAAATGGCCAAGCTGGAAACACAAAATTGAGACTGGGCACACAGATGATTTAAAGCTACAGAAGTGGATGAAATTACTGGAGTTTAGAAGGAAAACAGGACCCAGGTCTAAACGCTAAGAAATGCTGATATCTAGAGGGTAAACAGGCAGAGAAAGGCAAGTCAGCAAAAAAGACTGAAAGATGGCCCCAGGGGAGGGAGACAGTTCTGGAGAATGTGCTATCACAGTAGTCAAGTAAGGAGAGCACCTTGAGGAAGAAATGGTCAAGCATGTGCTGCTCAATTAAGAACTTAAAAAGAATCAAGCAGACCTGGCAACATAAATGTAATTTCCAGCCTTACCTCAAATGAGGGAGACAGAGTTCAGACTATTTTCAAACTGGTTTAAGGTGAACTAACTTCTTAAAGAAGCATGGTAGATACAAGCTATTTTGAGTTTTTTTGAAGAGCTAGAAAGATTTTTAAAAACAGAGAAAAAAATTAATTCTTTAATTAAGAGCTAGGTTTCCAAATTATATCTTTTGTCAAATAATTCTAGGTCACTTAATTTCACACTCACAGGATGACTATCCTGAGATCGCTGTAAAGGATACTTTAAATAGTCACAGCTGTATTCAATGCTGTGTCTGACATGTATGATCTTGGCTTTTCTTCCTGTAAATATGAACCAGCTCTTCAAATATCAGAGATGGTGTAGATAGTGAGAACAAACAGAGGACTTCTGGTTTCTGATTCAGCATGTACAGAGCTTAGAAGTCATCACTCCATCCTGACAAGTAAAAAGCTGGGCAAACTGCAAAATCGACCACTCTTCTCAGATCCCTCAGAGAAACAAAGTCACAGAGCAAACTGCTGCTCTCCCCCAAAGTGAAGAGGCAGATGAGTAAGACAACCACGAATATTAGAGAAGAAACCCACAAGCAGAAATCTCCAGGGGAACCAGTACTGGGGCAGGAAAATCTGAACTGTAATTGATGAATTGCTAGAGGCTCAGTGGAAAAGTCTGAGCTGGAAACTCCAGGGGGCCCAGGCAGGGAGGGGCCCCTGCACTTCTGTAAGTTCACCTCTAGGTCTACCAGGTTCTCACAGTGAGGACTGGAGAAAAATCCCATAGTGCTTCCAGGAGGAGGAGGAAAGTAACCATTCTGAAATATGCCAGAGCATTTTGTTCTTCTTAACAAGGCCTGCCCTCAGGAAAAAATATTTTACCAGAGTCTAACCTATCTGGGGGAAAGGATATACTCAACTCCAGCCCACTCCAGCCATCCTGTCCCACCTAAGGTTAGAGCAGTGTCTGAGAAACAATTGTGAAGTTCACAGTCCAGACTCACAGGCTCACTAAAGGACTGAGACCTTATCACTGGACTATGGAACACTTCCTCTTCTTTCACATTTTTTACCATCACATCACTGAAGGCCTGTTTACGGCAATTTCCTTCACCCAGCACATCATGTTCAGCTATGAAGAAAAAAGTTAGGCAAACTACAAATCAAAAACAGTTTAAAGAGAAAGAGCAAACATCAGAACCAGACCCAGATATGGCAGGAATGTTGAAATTCTAGGACTGGGAATTTAAAACTGTGATTAATGCTAAGGACGCTAATGAAAAAAAGAGACAACACGCAGGAACAGGTGGGTAATGTAAGCAGAGAGAGAGGTATTCTAAGAAAGAATCATAAAGAAATGCTGAAGACAGAAAACAATGTAACAGAAATGAATATCTTTGAGGGGCTCACAAGTAGACTGGACTTAGCTGAGGAAAGAATCTCTGAACTTGAGGACACACGCATAGAGACTTCTAAAACTGAAAAGCAAAAAGAAAGAAGACTGGGGGAAGAGGGGAAAGAAGAATAGATAAAACGGAATAGGATATCCAAGAACTGTGGGACAACTAAAGAAGGTGTAACATATGTATAATGGGAATACCAGAAGGGGAGGAAACAGAGGAAGGAACAGGAGCTCCAAATGAAAGAGGCCAAACTGCAAACAAGTGCTGCTGAGGGCAGGGACCCCCTTTCTCACCCAGCCCACCTTCACAGGGCAGAGGCTCTACTACAGAAGGGAGTGTGGCCCTTCTGCTCCCACCTAATGTCCTGATAATAAAGTGGGGATGTCACACTGAGAGAAGTGTGACACTGTCTCTCCCCCAGCTCTGGAGCAGAGACTCAGAGACTTTTGTCAGGGGAAGGGGCAGTCCATAAGAACAAATGCTCCAGAGCTTTTCCCAAAAGAATTGACTTTATTTGAAACAGACTGCAGAAGTTCAGGCCAAAGGGGGTTCTTGACAAGGGAGATTTTGGTGTAAACAATTAAGAGGAGGCTTGTAGCCCTATGAAAGCAAGCTAAAATGTAGGCCAGCTAGTTTACCAGAGAGAAGCAGGGAAAGAGACAGCCAAGCAGAGCCCTCCTGGAGGCCAAACAAACCTCAAAGACTTGCCTCAAAAACTATTCTGGGTTCAATTTAATTGTTCAGACCGTGGAGCAATCTATGTCCCAGAGCACTGTCAAAAACAAGAGAACAATCAGTGAGCAAATGAGTGCAGCCTAATAGTCAGGAGTGTCACCAACAGTGGCAGAGAAAAGAGAGAGTCAAAGAAAGCCCTGCTAAATCCAGCACCATCCCAGGATGACTGTGCACATGCCCTGATGAGTGACACGAGAAGCTTCATGTTGTTGGGAGGGAGAGAGTGGGGAGACAGAATTCACTAAAATAGTAAAAGCCAATCAATAAATAAATCAGCAAAAACAAAACAAAATACAAACTCTGGACACAGTAGGAATCAATATCTAGAATCAAAACATTATCTAGAATGTCCACTTTCCAAAGAAGAAATTATGAGGTAGGTAAAGAAATAGAAAAGTGTGACCTGTGCACAGGAAGAACAGCAGGCAACAGAATCTGCCTGTGAGAGGGTCCAGATGGCAGTTTTAACAAAGATTTCAAAATAATCATTATAAGTATGTTCAAAAAATTAAAAGAAATCATGCATAAAGAAGTAACAGAAAGATGACAATGTCTCATCAAGTAGAGAATATTGATAAAGATAGGAATTATATATTAAAAAGAGAATTCTGGAGTTAAAAAGTACCATAACTCAAATGAAAAATTCTTTAGAGCAGCTCAACAGTAGATCTGAACTACCAAAAGAAGAGTCAATGAGCTTCAAGATAGATCAATTGAGATTATACAGCATGAAAAAGGAGAAAAAGAATGAAGGAAAACGAACAGTCTGGAGAAATGTGGGACACCATTAACTGTACTAACATGTATCTAATAGGAATACGAGGAGAAAACAATGAGAAAGGAGCAATAAGAAGTAACACAGGTCAGAAGGTGGTGATGCATCCTTAATGTTTTACCAAGCAAGAAAACAGGGAAAAAGGGTACCAGTTTCACTTAATAGTCTTTTTGTTACTATTTGCTGATTTTTCCATCACTTGTCACAAATATAAAAAGACAAGGTGGAAGAACTTCCAAAATAAAAGGCTTGATTATAAAAATGAAGGTAAAATTGACCTAAAAAGTAAATAAAATATATTCTATTAAAGATACACATAATGTATTCCAATACACTACAGCAAGGTAGCCCCTAAATGAATCAGGAGACATGGAATCAGGTTTCAGCCTGCTTCCTTAAACTACGCTTTGATGCTTTATTTTTTGCTGGGTAAGAGAATGAAGCTGGGTTGGGGCAGGTAGCTTAGATCAAATTCTTCATGGTCATCTCTGGTTAAGGGGAATGGATGACTAAATCAGTGTTTCCAAGTCCCCCACTCCAACTTCAACCAGAGCTAGAAAGAGCAGGCTTTTTTTCCATTTGTTTTGAATACTAGGATTTTGCACTAAGTCCAAAAGACAAATAAAGGTGGTTTCATCTCTAAATAAAAGATATGAAAGCCGTGGACTAGATAATCCAACATTACCTCTAGCTGTAACAATCTGTGAGCACAACACCAAAGTTAGATAAAGACTTTTTATAAGAGTACTCAAATGCAAATACGGGTATTTTATCTTTAAGACTTCATTCTTCTGTTCAAAGACACTAATTATAAACTCACTTTGACTTTCATATTCCCACATTCTTCTTTTCAGTTAATCTCAGACATTCAAAATTTAATAGGAAAACACTCAAATCTGAGATATTACCTTATCCTTAAACGTAAGGTACACTCACCAATGGTCAGAAAATCTGATCGATACTGACAAGTCATTCCAAAGCCAAAATCTCGCCAGAAGCCAGAATCCTTTTTGTGAACCTTAAGTTTAAAAAACAAAACTCAATTTAACCCCTCAAAAACTACACGTTGTTTTAATCAACAATGAAACAAAATATTTTCCAAATAATACTTTTTCCTATCATTTATGTGATTATTAATGGATCACAATTTATATTATAAAATCCTTACAAAATTAACTAAAATACAGTAATCCCCATGAGCACAGGATTCTTGCCACTTTCAATTTAACTGAATTCAAGCCTTGTACAAAATGCAAGTTGAGGTTACTATTAATCAAATGGTGTGATGCCTGACCTCAAGGGGCTTACTTTTTTTTAATTGAAGTATAGTTGATTTATAATGTTGTGCTAGTTTCAGGTGTACAGCAAAGTGATTCGGTTACACACACACACACATATTCTTTTCCAGATTCTTTTCCATTATAGGTTATTACAAGAGATTGAAAATATATATATATATATATATATATAGTAGGCCCTTGTTGTTTATCTATTTTATATATAGTAGTGTGTACCTGTTAATCCCAAACTCCTAATTAACCCCTCATTCCACCTTTCCCCTTTGGTGACAATAAGTTTTCTATGTTTGTGAGTCTATTTCTGTTTTGTAAATAAGTTCATTTGTATCATTCTTTTAAGATTCCACATATATGTGATATCATATATTTGTCTTTATCTGACTTCACTTAGTATGATAATCAATAGGTCCATCCATGTTGCTACAAATGGCATTATTTCATTCTTTTTAATGACTGAGTAATATTCCATCTCATATATGTGTGTATATTCCATCACACACACACACACACATTATATATAGATACACTACATCTTTACCCAGTCACCTGTCAATGAACATTTAGGTTGCTACCATGTCTTGGCTATTGTAAATAGTGCTGCTATGAACAATGGGGTGCATGTGTCTTTTCAAATTAGAGTTTTTGTCTTTTTTGGATATATGCCCAGGAGTGGGATTGCTGGATCGTATGATATCTCTGTTTTTAGTTTTTTAAGGACCCTCCATACTGTTCTCTATAGCGGCTGCACCAATTTACATTCCCACCAAAAGTATAGGAGGGTTCGGGGGGCTGACATTCTATTTTAGGAGGATACCAGCTATACAAGCACATACCGTAACACACCCATCAATTCTACACAGTAGACCTCATTTGGTGCCTAGTCAGCATCTTTCCCCCACCCTCTTCCTGACTATATAGTTTTGCTCAGGTAATTACCTGGCCCCATGCAGCCATGAGCTTCAGGGACGCTCCATTCACCTGCAATGTCAGACTGGGCCATGAACACTCTATACCAGTGAGAAAGTCTCACCCCACTTACCGTAGGAACTGATTAACTAACAGGCATTAGACAAAATTCGGGCCAACATGCTAAAAAGGAAGGTTGTTGAGAACTTTGCAAAACAAAGCCCCCGCATTCTGCTGAGAGAGCTACTAGAAAGACACTTGCTCTCTTTGGATGCTGTAGGGCAGAAGCAAGCAAACTACTGCCTCCAGGCTACATCTCGCCTGCCATCTGGTTTTGTAAATACTTTTATTGGAACACAGCCACACTCACTTGTTTACAGACTGTCTGAGTGTTTTCGTGGTACAATGACAGAGGTGAATAGTTGCAACAGGCACTGTATGGCCTGAAATACCTAAAATATTTTCTATGTGGCTCTTTACAGAAGAAGTTTGCCAACCCCTGGTGTAGGGTATAGATGTGACATTTGGGACTGCTGTGGTCCTTTTTCACAATGAAGGGCACCAGCTTTAAAATGGAGCAGTCACCACTGAAGTTCAAGCAGATAAAGAAAAAGAAAATCATTGCTTTGATGGTACTGAGCTTGCAGAATTACATGAAAGCTGAATCCTGATAAACATCCTTTTTAAATTCATTCATTCAACAAGGGTTTAATCTATTGCACTTGGTTCTGGGAGCTGGAACCCAGCAGAGGTGACAAAGTCCTTGCTACCACAGAGCCTCTGTTTTGATGGAAAAATAGCAAATAAATAAATGTAAGTCTTGCGTGGTGATACATGCTAGGAAGAAAGATGCCAGGACAAACAGCATGCTATAGAGAGAAATTTTAGATATAATGCCCACAGAAGGCCTTTCTGAGGAGGGACCCTAGTGAAATCAGGAAGCAAGCTATGCAAATATCTGAGATCATTCCAGACAAAACACGTACAATGGCTCTGAGGTAGAAGTGCACTTGATGTGTTCGACAAACACTAAGGAAACAATGTGGGAAGACCCCAGAAAGCAAGCGTGAGAAGAATGAGGCCCCAGGGCAAGAAATGGCTATATTTTTCAAACATAAGTGGTATTACACTATTTCTATATGTGTATAGTAATGATCCAAAAGAGGCAAAATGTTAGGATAGGGGAGAATAAAAAATGGCTGGAGGGGCGTCCCTGTTTAGGCGTGAGGGATGAACTCTATCTAGTTCACCAAAAAAGGACGAGCTGGCGTTATGAAGGGACGTGGGCAGTTCCTCCACCCGGAATGGAGAGAGGCTGGGGATGTGATACGGAGCCAGTGAGGTGGATGGATCTCATGACAGGAAAATAAGGAAGTGAACATCTCACTGCTTCTCTTTTCTAAGTGAGATACGAAGCAGGATACGTGGAGAGTGAGAGTGGTGAGGGCTGCTGGCAGGTGGGAGGACAGTGTCACTGGCCTGCACAGCGAAGGACACAGAGTGGGTGGACTAGGGTGTGGCACGGGACCACAGGGCAGTCATACATGTAAAGCTATGCCCTGCAGTGGGACTGTCTCTCACTCTCTACCCACATTCTGCTGCTCTGGGGCCTGGTTGACAGAGCTGCCCTTAACTAGGTTGGGGTTTTAAGAGAAAACACTGGAAGAACAGAGGGATGAAGGAGATGAGTGTAGAGCAGAAAAGAGGCTGTGGATAATGACTGACCATGGAGTCTGAGTTGTGTATGGAGGGAAGTGGGGATATGGGTGTGAGGAGGGTGACAGAAAGCAGAGAGACAGGCACCTCATCCAAACTGCTGCGTTCTAAGCCACTTCCTCCAAGAAATGAAGTTAGAGCTGGGATCTGAGAGGTAAGTAGGAGTTAGCAGAGTGAAAGAAGTGCTGAGAGAAAGTTTTAGGCAAAAGAACAGTTTGTGCAAAGGCCTGAGATCAGAAAGAGCACTGTGGGTGAAAGACAGTGGGACTGAACACTGGAGTCAGAAGTAGAGGTGCCCACAAATGTGGAGCAGGGATTAGAAAACTTTCGTAAAAAACTAGATGGTAAATATTTTAGGCTCTGCAGTGCATAGACTCTTTGTCACAACTACTCAGCTCTGCCACTGTAGTGTGAAAGAAGTCATTAAAGATAAATGATCAAATAAACATGCTGCATTCCAAAAAACTATTTATGGCCACTTAAATTTGAATTTCACATAATTTTCATGTGTCATGAAGTATTACCCTTTAAAAAATATTTTTCAACCACTCTTAACTTATGGGCCATACAAAACTAGGCAGCAGGCTGGATTTGGCCTGCGGGCCACAGACTGCTGACCCCTGGCCTAGAGGGATCAGCAGGGCCACGTCAGAGAGAACCACGTGTGCCTGGTCACCTGGTTTGGGCTTTATCCTAATGGCAATGGGAATTATCTGAAGAGGAGGAGTAGAAGGAGTAATGTGATCAGACAATGTTCTGGGGAGATCACTCGGCGGATAAGAGAGAATAGATAAGAAGAGAGAAGATGTAAGAAGGCAAGAATAGAGGCAGGGAGGCTGGTTAAGAGGCAACAGCTATAACCTGGGAATGGGAAGCTGGTGGTATAGACTAACATGGTATGTAGAGAAAGAAAAAATTCAATGGATGTAAAAAAGATTTAGGATGCAGAATTGACAGAAGTCAGCAAGTGACTAAATGGGCATGAGCAGGGGATGAGGGGGAAGGATCAACGAAGATGGCAGCAGTCTGACGTCCTGACAACGGGTATGTGACAGTCCTCCCCCTGAGAGTGGGAGCCGGGGGAAAGGGCCAGCCCAGAGAGGAATGATGTGGAGCTAGGTTCCAGACATAATGAGTTTGAGTGATCTGTAGGGCAACATTGTGAAAATTCTTGCAAAAAGCAGAAATACAGTAATATTCAGGCCACTTCTGAGATGGGTAAAGACAGCCTGAAAGAGCTGCTGTGTAGAATGGGAAACCAACTTGAAAACAGAATGAACCAGGCAGTACTGAGGACTTGGCTCATGTAGGAGCTAATAAATGAAATACAAAATTTCCTTTTCCATTTGGGGGTGGGGTGGGGAGAGGAAGCCTTCTTCCCTGCTAACAGAAAGTAAAACTTCCTGAAGGCAGCATTTTTTCTTAATTGTGATCACTGCTATATCCCAAGCACCTAGAACAATGCACACATAGTAGGCTTTCAATAAATGAAAAAATAAATAAACTTATAGAGGTGTAACTTTTGTGGCAAAACCAAGAATAGGCTCTTATCTCCTTAGTTAAAATATAATCCTGGTGCAAAGTATTAAAACACTCACCCTGACATTTCTACCCTGTGCCAATTATGATTTTATAAATATGACTTCATTTATAACTTTAGTTTCTTTAAAAATTCTTCAAATATTTTCAGGCTTGTGGAAAAGTCATTGGTTTTGTTTGATTTTTTAAAAAGCAGCACATTTTCACTGACGAAAGTAGAAGGAAACTCATTATTGTTCATAACCCCTGGCTGTTAATATTTTATTGAATTTTAATCTGTCTCCTAAGCAGGTGGGGGATACAGCTATCCACACATAACCTACATCTCCAGCCCTCAGACCCTCACAGATGCCAGGTTCATGAATCCCCCCTTGGCACCTTCAATACACAACACAAACCTGTCATGCTCAAATTGAAGTTTTCATCTCTCCTCTTCCACTCCTGTCTTTCCCTCACTCCCCACATCCAATCCACCAGCAAGCTCTGTCAGCTCTGTCTCCAAATCATACCTAAACCTTTCTCCACAATCACCACCCTCACGTTAGTCACAGCACCTCCC